GACTCGAGCTTCCCATTCGCTGTCCAAAATTTCTCCAGCTCACCAGCAGAGCAGGTCTCCTTACCAGTGAGGACCATAACCATTTCCAAGACACTCATCACAACAACTGCATCTTGAGCAAGCGCCTTTCTCCTATCCGCCGCATCGAGGCCCTAGACGACCAGAGACTTTTCCCGAGACACAACTAGAGAATTCCCCTCAAAGAAAAACTTGTTGAGAAATCAAGGAGGCAACATGAACTTGTCTTTGGCTGTATCATGCATAAGATCTATATCCACGCCTTCATCCTCGTGAGCCCTTTTTTGCTCGGGGTGTCCTACGGAGGAGGAAACTAGTTTCCCGCTGGAGAAGAAGAAGAAGTTCTAGAGCCATCCTTGAGATGAGTCGAAATGTAAGCCAAGCGACTCCTAAAGCTCTTCTTTACAAGTTTCCCTCGGTTTGCTGCCATCTTGAGCACGCGATCCTGAAGGCTCAACATTTTACCTGCGACAAATGACACGCACAAATTAGTATACAGAGGAAGAATAAACACAAACAATTTAAAAGAAAAAATATACCTAAAAGCAAGAAAGCATCCTTGACAGTAGCGCACTCGAGGATCTCCTTGGTATTAATATGACGTGCCTCATAAATGGGTTGGCCTTGATTGTCGAGGACGACCTCCCCTTTCTTGGTCTCCCACTGAGTAGGAGCAAAGCTATCGACGAACTTCATGAGCTTGTCGTAGCCATCTTGGTCCTTGGGGTCTAATTGGTTGGGCTTGGTAGTGTAGTAATCCGTACTTTGATCAAAGTGGTCACCACTCTAGTGAAGGTGGAACTTCGAGACCGTCTGTGTCACCTCATTCACATGCTCGTTGAGGCGCACACTCTTGTTTTCCTTGATAACAACCTACCGCTTGAATACATAATTGAGAGCTACTTGGGATACATGGTTGATTAGATAATACATATCCTTAAACGTAGGGCAACAAGGAAATATTTTGTTAGAGGCAATATCAATGTTGGACATTCATGTGAAGATTATTTCCACTCTCATAGGCAATATTAATGGTGGACTTTCATGGAAAAATCCTCGACGCACTCAGAGACACTATTAGTAATGGATTTCCATAGTAAGATCCTTGTCGTCCTCAGAGGCAATATTAATGTTGGACTTCGATGGAAAGATCCTTATGGCATTAAGAGGAAATATCAATGTTGAACTTCCATTGAAAAATCCTGCCTCCTTAGAGGCGATACAAATATTGGGCCAATGCTAAAAAAATTCCATGTTACGTAAAACATGCCACATCTTGAATCCTTAATGAGTAGTAAAACTAATAACTCCACTTGAAGTCTCTATTGAGGGACTCAACTTGAAGTCTCTCCTGAGGGACTCAATTTAAAGTCTCTAATGAGAGACTCAACTTAAAATCTCAGTCGGAGGACTCAACCTAAATTCTTGCATGAGAGATTCAATTTAAAGTTTCGCTTGAGAGATTTCACTTAAAGTCTCACATGAAAGATTCAACTTAAAGTCTCGCATGAAGGACTTAACTTAAATCTTACGTAAAAAACTCTACTTAAATTTTATATGAAGGACTCAACTTAAAGTCTCATTTAAGAATCTCAACTTAAAATCTCTTCTAAAATACTCAACTTTAAAAAAAGAACATCTTTCAGATTTTAAAAGTATTTATAAGTTTGGAATAATAATTAGAAAATTATTTTACAAAAATGTGTTAATAAATGCCTATTGTTACACCATGAACCGAAATAAAGTACTTTACCAAACAAAAAAATTGGAAGAAGATGAAAAAAGGAAAAAAAGAAGCAAAAACAGTGAAACGTTTCGTTTTCCACCGAAGTTTGCAAAAACAAAAAGGGCTTTTGAGTCTGTCAGACAACCATGTCACCACCTCGGTAAGGTAGAACCAACCGAGAACGATCATCTACAACTCAAGTTGATGTCATCAAGCCATTAGTCACGCTCTGATGACATGGTCATAGTTCATCCACCAGACTTATGTTCCTGTCTCCTTAGAAATCAAGGACACAGTAGTACGATCCTATAGAACAGATCCTGTTCAAGTAAGGTCGTGCTTGTACAAACTATGATTGAGGTATATAAACGTTTATGATTTTCTGGGCTTCAACAATGTGGGAGTTATATGATGGTTTTTGTTGTAACTCTCGCTTTATTTATGTTCAAAATTGCTTCTAACAAGTCTGTACTTTTTGCATATTTTGTAAAAAAACAAAACAGCTCTGGTGGTGCTACCATGATTGGGCAAGAATTGAGCTGATATTATAAATATGTTTGTCAAGTGCTAGTTATCCGAAGCTAATTAATTTGTCTAACCGTTCTCAAGTTATCTACATGGTGCATAATGATGATTTGATTTTGAGTGTATATCGTCTATTACAAGTATTGTGATACATTACACTGTTGCTTGCGTTTTCCATAATTGTATCTTGTAATTGAGCTATATTTATCATATGGGGCTGACACACTCATTCTTATCTAAATGCTATTTGCTCTTTCATTTGGCCACTACCAAAGCATGGGAGTTAAATTTGTGACTTCTAGCTTAGTATTTTATCCCTTTGACTTTGTTTTGTTTCCTTGTCATTTTAGAAGTGACAAAATACGAGTTAAAGTTTGTTGGGCTTTGAAAATCATAATCAATTCACCAAGCAGATACGGATTTACATACATGGAATAATCACAACCTACTGACCTTCATCTGTACCCTAAGGTAAAGGCTCTATCTCTTCGACATGATTCTTTTGTAAGCTATAGCCATGGTAGACTTTGATCAAGAAAATTTTGAGGTATGTAAAGACTTACTTAAATAGAAGATGGACTATATTGCGTTGAAATTCAATTGTCGCTAGAATAGATAGGGATCAAGTGAGTGGTATCTAACTAAAGTCCCACATCGTCTAATGGATAAAATAAATTAAGGTATTCACATATAAAATTAAAGGACCTCTGTTTTTAATATTCACGGAGCCGTGTGATGATGACATAGCGAACTTTTCTTTCGCCTTTTACTAAAGAATACCGTGTCAGCGTCACAATTAGTGGTGTACGCTAGTTTTTGGAAGAGTCTTCTTCATTGAGGGCTCTGCAATATAGTTCAAATTTATTCTTCTATAAATAGTATAATATTGTATTGAGTCAAATTAAAAGACATGACAAAACTTATCATTGTTATGATATGCAAATCAACCTGTAACCTCATGAGCACTCTAACCAGGCCAGAGAGTGAACCAGAATGATATGGTCAAATACTGTCATAAAAATCAACTCTGCTGCTGGCTGCGCTCATGATTCATCCTCCTAACTTATGTTCCCGTTTCCTTAAAAATCAAGGAAACAATAGGTAGAGCTTATATAATAAATAGATCATGTTCAACAAGCCGGGGCCAGCTTATCATGATTAGTAAGATTTTATAGGTGACAGTGTAAGTATGTTTCTAAAGTGCTTTTTTTTTTTAATTTATTTTTATTTTGTGGTAGTTCATTTCTATAATCAAATTTTAAGTTGTCATATGGAGATTTTCATTAAAAATTGCATGCTTTATAAAAAATTGGATGAATATACTGTTTATGTCGAATTAAATTAACTGATGACATGTATCAGGTTCTAAACTTTGAGTCTATGTTGTTTACCAGAAGTTTGATACGGTGCTCTATATGCTACAGGCATTCTTGATTTTGATCATGAAATGGTGAGGTTTTTAAAGATGAAACGGATCAGTTACCTCAATACACTCTTGTGTTGCAAGGTTAGTTATTACTCATTGTTGTTACTTGTGTTATATTTGTACTGAAATCCTATTGTTGCTAGTGGATAACAGACTAAAGTCCCACACCATCTACTGCATAAAAGAAACTAAATTACTCACATATAAAGTGAAAGAACCTCTAATTATTATAGTCACGGAGCCGTGTGATGATGACATAGCGAACTATTCTTTCGCCTTTTACTAAAGAATACCGTGTCAGCGTTACAACTAACGGCATACGCTAGTTTTTGGAAGAGCCCTATTCATTGAGGGCTCTGCAATATTAGTTCTAATTTTTATTACTATTACTATTCTAAGATTATAGGTTTTATTAGAAGTTTTTAAAATGGATTTTTTTACAAAATACTATGCTTTACTAAAATTTAACTCAAATTAAATTGAAGTTTTGTGTACTTGGAATTATAAGAATCAGCGTTTTCCTAGACTTTTTCTTAGTATCTACCCGAAGTACTATGGTTCATGTTTTAGAATGTACACTTAGTATCTACTTTGAAGTTCTATATAACAAAGAAATGTTGTGTAGGATTTACTCATAACTTATCTGATGATGTACGACACATTTGCATACAGGGACTTGTGTTCGCGCAGCCCTTCCTAATTATGTTTCAAATATTTTTGAAAAATAAAAAACTTGACCTGCTAGTATTAGAGTACATAAAATTTGACATTAGTAGTTATCTATGTGTTCATGTTATTTGGAGTAAGCTGGATTGCTCATTGTCATCAGCAGAGTCATATCATACATATATATACATACACCGTGCATTTTACTATATATGCAAATTGTTATATAAGGACCTAATTTATGAGGCAAGGGTTCTGGTCTATATGCAGACTCCTAATTCCTGTTACTTATTTGCTGTTTGCAAATGCTACTGAAATGAATTTTTATTGACAATTTTAAGTAAGAGAAGTGTATCAAATTTTAAGCATGATTCTTTCTCTATCAGGCTTCTCCTGAAGGTCGAAATCGACAAAGTTCACCTTATGGGAGGTTGACCTTGGAGTTGTACGCACGACCACTACTGTTCTCTTCATTCTTAAGTTGTCCCAGTAGTTCTTGTGGGTGGTCTCCTGGTCTCCCTGGATAACGACAACTCGATCGTTCTCTAGTGGGGTGATATCTTTCTCCTTCTTGCTTAGAGCCCCATTAGAAGTACTTCATCAAGTAACCCTCGTGAATGAGGTACTCAATCTCATTCTTCAATTGGTGACAATCATCTGTATGGTGACTTTTAATTTTGTGGTATTTACACCACTTAGTGAGGTGATCCTCCTCCTCGTTTTCGATCTTGGGCTCAGAGGAGGCATAATATTGTAGGTATGGAGTACTTCACGCCATATGTGCGCCTTTCCAGTATTCATAAGCGTGTAGTTTTCAGTCGGCCTCCCACTCCTTTTAAATGTATCGAGACATAATGACCGCAACATTGTTGATGTGAGGATTCGGTCCCACCA